AAAGCAGAAAGGGAAGAAAAGAAACAAGACTGTGCACAAGAACTCAATGAGGATTCTAATCTTAGATGTAAGGGGAAGGAGTAAATTATCATAGTTCTAAGAAAAGGTAGTAACTTGAGGAATAAAATATTCTTTTGGTGATTCTCCTATTAATAGTTACATCTTCCCAAGCCTCTACAATTTAGAGGAACTCGTTCACATGGAACTCCCAGTCTCTAAATCAAGAGTAAAGCAAGATAACATTTCTAAGATTTAGTGATTAGGGGGAAAAAAGCTTATACCTCTATACTAAACTTTCAGGCAGGAGCTAAAATATTCCCTGGGAAGACAACTAAAAACCCTAAACTCTTAGCAAGTCAAAACTATAATGAGATACTACTACTTCACACTCACTAGGATGGCTACTGTTAAAAATATATATGGGGGGCGGGGGATAAGAGACGCAGGGAAACTGGAACCCCTGTGCACAGTTGCTGTGTTAAATCATGTGGCAGTTCCTCAAAAAATTAATTATAGAATTACCTTTACAAGTCAGTAATGCTACTTCTCAATGCATGCCTCAAAGAACTGAAAGTCAAGACTCAAAGAGGTATTTGTGGGATTGTTTAAAATAATCAAAAACAACTGGGTGTGGTGGTCCATGCCTATAATCCCAGCACCTAGGAGGCTGAGGCAGAATGACTGCCAAAAACTCAAGACCAGCACGGCTATACAGTGAATTCAAGGCCAGCCTGAACTACAAAGCGAGACCCTATCTCAAAAACAAAACAAAACAAAACAAAATAGCCAGAAACAGGGAAACAAACTAGTGTTAATTGATATGGATATCACCCTTAAAAAGAAAGAAATTTCTGTAATATTCTACAACATAGGTAAACCTCAAGAATGATATACTAAGTAAAATACGCTCATCACAAAAAGATAAATCCTAGGGGCTGGGGATTTAGCTCAGCGGCATAAGCGCCTGCCTTGCAAGCAGCCAGTCGTGAGTTCGATCCCTGGTACCGATAAAAACGAAAAAGACCAAAAAAAGATAAATCCTGCATGATTCCATTTTTATGAGGTAGAAAAGTCAAAATCACAGATGGTAGAATGGCAGGTACCAGGGGCTGCAGAAAAGGGGGAAGTTATTGTTTAGTAGGTCTAAAGGTTTAACTTTACAAGATTAAACTTATAGAGATGAATTGATGGTTGTACAACATCATGAATTTACTTAATACCGTGAAACTATACATTTTAAAATAGCTAAGATGATAAAATTTGTTAAGTATATTTTATTATAATTTTTTTGGTTTTTCTTTTTCTTTTTTCTTTTCTTTTTTTTTTTTTCTTTTTTTTGTCTTTTTGCTTTTTATCGGTACCAGGGATTGAACTCACAACTGCCTGCTTCCAAGGTAGGCGCTTATGCCGCTGAGCTAAATCCCCAGCCCCTATTTTTTAGTTTTCAAACCCATTTCATTTCAAGGAGAAAAAAAGAAAAAAAACTAAACAAAATTTTAAAACATGTCAATCAGAATTTATCGTAATTTTTAAAATCTGAAAAAAAATACTAAACTGCTTAGTAAACTTCAAATCAGTACCTGCAAATGAACAGAATTCTCTCCTAACTACCTCAGTAAGATTCCTTGTATCTTCTCAAAATAAACAAGTAGCTACATTCCAGAAAGTAACACAATCAAATTATGGTATTGGAAATCTTCACTAATCAGAAACATCAAAGGCCTCTTGTGAAGAAACACACAAAGGCAAAAATGAAGGTGAAAAAGTGAATGAACCTTGGATGTAGTGGCACATACCTGTAATCTCAGCATTCTGGGCAGCTGAGGCAGAAAGACAGCAAACTCAAGTTCAGCCTGGGTAGTTTAGTGCCTCAAAAATTATAAAAGAGCCAGGATACAGCTTATGTTAAGGTCCTGGGTTCAGTTTCTAGTATCACCACCCCATCCTACCCCACTGAAAAAAAGTAGATGGAAATGGATATATACATTGACCTAGTCAGGGCAACAGAAAAAAAAAAAGCAAAAAAATTAAAAGAAAAACAATACAATTTTCACTTGCAGACAAATGATGACATATATAGGAAGTCCTAGAGGAATCTATAACTTAAACAAAGTCATGGGGTATAAGATTAAAACACACAAAAAAGTATTTCTACATATAAACAATAAATAATTTTAAAAAGGAATAAAAACACCAGTTACGTCATCGCTAAAAACATTGACCTTTGAATAAGTTTATCAAGACATGTTCAAATTCTCCATATCGAAAATTATAAAACTTTGTAGAAGGGAGCTGAAAACAAGACAAATACACAGACGAAACATGGTGGTGCTCGACTGTAATCCCAGATAAGTAAAGAGGCTGAGGAAAAGAGATACTAAGTTGGACACCAGTCTAGGCAACTCAGCAAGTCCCTGTCTCAAAGATTTTAAACAGGGCATAAGATGTAGTTCAGCACTCACTGTGTTCAATCCCCAACACCACACACGCACACTTATTTGGTCCCTTTCCCATTCCCTGCTGGTGGTGTTACCCTGCTCTGCTTCACAGCCAATGTGCACTAAGCAGCTTTATTCTGCCAGATCCTTTTGCCATGATGTTTCTGACCCTGGCCCGGCCCAGCCTGAAACAGTGAGCCAAATTAAACTCCCATAAGCTGAGGGTGTCTCAAGATCTCCCAAATCTTTATACATACAAGTACTTCCATTCAACAGCCTAGAAAGCTTTTTTGTAGAAAGTGACAAGGTGATTCTAAAGTTTACATGCAACAGAAGTCAAGATAATCTGAAGAAAGAAATGAAAACAAGTCAGGTGTAGTGACACATGCCTATAATATTGGCTATTTGAGGAAGGCACATCACAAGTTGAAGGCCAGTCTAGGCAACTTCACCAGACCCTGCATTAAAATAAAGTTTTTAAAGGCTTAGGGAATATAGATCAGTGGTAGAGCCCTTGCCTCCCATATATGAGGTTTCAGGTTCAACTGCTGGTACCACGAAAAAGGAAAAAGAAAACAAACTTGGTAGAATTAGGCTACCTGATTTCATGACATACTATAAAACTAAAATAATTAAGACAGTGTGGTACTGTAAAGATAAATACAGTAGACCAATGGAACCAAACAGGACAGAAATAGACCACACAAGTACCATTACTGATTTTCAACTAAGACATATGTACAAGTCAGTGGGGGAAAGTTTTTAAGACAAATGGTACTGACATAAAAAAGGTAAACTTTTATTTCTACCTCACATTATTAAAAGACTGAATCAAACAAGGCCATATTTCTAAACGTAAAAGCTAAAATTATAACTTTTTTTAGAAGTAAAGTAAAATAACAACTTGAGTCAGGTATAGTGGTGCATTCCTGTAATCCCAGCACTCAGCAGACTGAGGCAGGAGGATCATTGCAAATTTGAGGCTAGTCTGGGCAAGTGAGTTTAAGGCAAGCCTGAAGAACATAACAAGTCCCTGTTTCAAAAAAATAAAACAAAACAAAGTATCTTCACAAACTTCAGATAAACCAAGAATTTCATAGGACATAAAAGGCAATAAAAGAAAAAAATCAGTATTTTGGATTTCATCAATATTTAAAACTTCTGATCATCAGAAGAAACCATTAAAAAAGTGAAGTCAGATTAGGCATGGTAGCAAACACCTATAATCCCAGCACTAGGGAGGCTGAGGCAGGATGATCATTGAGGATTTGAGGCCAGCCTGGGTTACACAGTGAGCTCAAGGCCAGCCTAAACTACATAGCCAAACCGTGTCTCAAAAAAGAAAAAAGATCAGCAACTAGATTATGCAAAGAATTCCTATAGCCAGGCAGTAATATATGCCTATAATCCCAGTACACAGGAGAATTACTGCAAGTTTGAGGTCAGCCTGAACTACACAGTAAGACCGTGTCTCAAAAAAACATGATGAGCAGGGGCTAGGGATTTAAGTGCCTGCCTGGCAAGCACTAGGTTGTGAGTTGGATCTCCAGTACTAAAAGGATGTGCAACATAAACTTTGAAAAGACTATTCTGTGTACAGCTTCTAAAATTTTAAATATTACTACACGTGAAATGTGTAAAGTTTTTTATTACAGTTTTTTTTTTTTTTTTTGTCTTTTTCCTTTTTATCAGTACTGGGGATCGAACTCACAACTGCCTGCTCGTAAGGCAGGCACTTATGCCGCTGAGCTAAATCCCCAGCCCCTTGTAAAGTTTTTTAAAACTCCTGCTTCATTCCAATCAATTTCCCACTTGCAGAATCAACTGCTGCTCTGACTTCTATCACTATATATTAATTTTGCTTGCTCATAAATTTTATATTAAGTGGAATCTTTTGAAATACTTTTGAAGTATACCTTATGTTTTTTCTTACCTTTTTTTCCCAGAGCTATGGAGTGAACTGAGGCTTTGCATATGCTAATCGAGTGCCCTATCTGATATCACACACAGAGAGAGACAGAGACAGAAACAGCGGCTGAGGATATGGCTCAGTGGCACAGCACCTGCCTGGCAAGCTCAAGGTCCTGAGTTTGATTCCCAGTACCAAAACACAGGAAAGAAAAAGAAAGAAATAAAGAGAGACAGAGACAGATGTATTTTATTATCTGGGTTATGACAATTAAATGTCTAAATCTTTGCTAATAATCAAAAGAAAGAGCAGCTTAACAGTACACATGCAAAACAGAAAGAGTACACATGCAATGACATATGTGATAAAATGTTTTTTTTTTTTTTTTTTTGAAACAAGATTTTGCTATGTAGTTTAGGCTGGCCTTGAACTCACTATGTAGTCCAGGCTGACCTTGAACTTGTGGAGATCCTCCTGCCTCGGCCTACTGAGAGTGAGCCTGGTCACAGGCATGCACCACTGTGCCCTAAAAACATATTTTAAAAAAATACTTTATACACCATAATGCACTGGGAAAACAATATTCAACACACGATAAAAGTCAAGAAATATAATATTCAACACACGATAAAAGTCAAGAAATAGTGTTTTACCTTAAGTTTTGGATATATATAGCGCAAAGAATCTGCAGTTCCCATGTCGGCTTCATCAGGAATACACACAATATCTGGCTTCATTTTCATCTTGAATTCTGCACTTAGAGCCTTCTGGACATCCTTGGTTGTAACCACTATGACTTCTACCATGTGCGGAGAAAAAAAAGAAATGCAAAAATTCACTAATTTAAACAATAGTTTCACTATTTCTATTGGATGTGTGTCTTTTCAATGTGTTTTATATTCTTCCAATTAATTTTTAAACCATCTCTCTTTAAAAATGAGGATCTTGAGCTGGGCGTGGTGGCTCATGCCTGTAATCCCAGCACTCCGGAGGCTGAAGCAGGAGGATCATTGTGAGTTTGAGACCAGCCTGGGCTACAAAGGGGGCTCAAGGTCAGCCTGAACTGCATAGCAAGATCCTGTCTCAAAAAGACAGAAAAAAAAAAGAAACTTTAGGGGAGACCATAATGCTGGAAAAGTGACCAACACTGAAGTGCAATCTCTCTAGGAATCAGAATTCAGACACCTAGAAAATAATGACTTGGTAAAAGAAAAAAAAAAAAAAAAAGAAAAGAAGGAAGGAATTAATCTCTGGGAATTAGGAGAGAATTGAAAGGAAAAGTAGGAAATATAGAGAAGCTGGAGAAAAGGAGACCAATGCAAAGAAACAAACGCAGCAGTCTGGAAACTCACACTGGCTCCCAGGGAGGGAAACCTGTCACTGCAGACACAAAGTCAGCCTGCATGGCCAGCAGTGCTAGTCCTAAGAAAAGCCCACAGCTATAGTAAACTGTAAACACAGTGTGGGGCCAGGCATAATACCTGTAATGTCAGCATTCAAGAGGATGAGGCAGGAGAATTACCATGAGTTCAAGGCCAGCTTGGGCTACATAAGCAAGTTCAAAGCCAATTTATAATACATAGTGAGACTCTACCTCAAAAACGCCAAAAACAAAAACACCGCCACCACCAAAGACCAGTGTGGGGTTTTACTCTAAAACTCCTTCCACATGGCAGTCTATAGAGTTGGAGAAGAAATTCAGTGCAATAGCTACCATATTGCCCAAGTGTTTACTCAAGAGTCATTTGAGAAGGGGCTGATTAGTTAAGACAGAGCCACAGAACAACTACAGAACAACTTTACTTCAAGGTTCCCAGTGTAACCTTCCCACAGTGATGGGGAAAGAGGCAGCCACAGGTAAAAATCACAGAGCAGGAGCAGGCTGGACATAGACCACCTGAGAGGTTTAAGCTCAGGCTGGCAAGGACACAGGGCCCTGGCTTCTGTGGTGAGAAGCAAGGCATGGCATGTGTGGCTTTCACAGAGAGCTGAGTTTGAAAGTGTTGGTCATCAAATACAGTGAGCTGCTGACTCCTCATCCTGCTTCCTGTATCCAATACAGATCAGAGGTCTGATTGCTTTTCCCATGTACCAACATGAGCAGGACACACTGTAGGGAGCCTTTGAAGCTGGAGATTGATCAAGTGTGAGGCTAAAAGCAAGGCCAGCCCAGAAAAAACAGAGACCAAAACAAGCTATGTAAACAAGTTGTTCAAGCACCAAGAAGACAAGAGGCCCAGGCCTGCCAGGCAGATAAGTTGTGAGGCAGTGGGTTTGAAATTGACATTCTTAGGGCTCGGATTTAGCTCAGCGGCATAAGCACTTGCCTTGTAAGCAGGCAGTCATGAGTTCGATCCCTGGTATCAATAAAAAGGAAAAAGGCAAAAAAAAAAAAAAAAAAAATAGACATTCTTCTTTGAAGGGTATAAATAAATATGCTGCACTGTTTGAGCAGTTCCTTTCCTCCCATCAGGAGGATAAGGGCTCCACCTGACCCCAGCTTTGTCTCTTCTTTATTTTTCTCATCCTCTCACAGTCCTTAACCCCAAGAACCTCAGGAACCACATTGGGTGGCAGCAACACTCCTTGTCTGAAGACAGTTCCCATAGCCTGGAGTTAGTGGACAGAGAGGCCTCCAGAGCAAGAGGGCCCCTCACAGACCCACAGGTCATAAAGTTAGAAGAATACTGACTTGCTGAATTCAAAACTGCAGGTCCTGGCAAGAAACCATTCATTAAACAATACAGGAAGGCTGGGGATGTAGCTAAGTGGTAGAGTACTTGCCTAGTATATGTAAGGACCTAGGTTCAATTCCTAGCCCTAGAAAAAAACAATAGTATAAAAAAATACAGACGAATTTTTTTCTGACTCCTTTTTCTTTCTTCTTCATTGCTTTTCTGGGACTTGGGGGTTTTTTCTTTTAAAAAATTCTTCTATTTTCTTCTTTAGTTGTTCTCTTCTGTTACCTTTTACTCCTTAATAGGATCTTTTCACTTTTCTCTCCTCATTTTCCATTGCTTAATTTTTCAAATTTTTCTTTTATTCTCTTGTTCCTCATATCTTTACTAATCTTTAAGTCTATCTTTACTAATAAAACCATTAAACATTATTAATCTTTATAGTTAACTCTATACCATTACATTATTTTTTATTGTTATTAATGAAAATATTTTTGTTGCATTTAGTAGATAGTTACTACATATCAATATATGGTTTATCTTAGTGTTTATGCTATAATTACAGATTTTTTTCTACAGTTAAGGTAGCAGACTACTGGTTCTCATGGTATGTCAATATCCAGTATGTCTTTAACATGTAAAATGTAGCTGGTTTAGCTCCTATTGCTAGGGTGGCATAATTGCTGCTATCAATGGATTTTCTCTGCATGCCTATATATGGATTGCCTTTGTGTCATTAATAATACTGCAGTTCATTCCTAAAGAACTGGGTGGTACAAAATTATACTTTGACCCTGTCTTAGTTACTCATCTCACTGCTGAGACAAAAATACCCAACACCCAAAGTTAAAGGAAGAAAGATTAACTGGCACAGTTTGTAGAGGTTTCAATTCATAGTCGGCTGGCTCCACGACAGGGTGGCACCGCAGAGAGGCATCCTGAGGAGAAACAGTTCTTAATAAAGCAGGGCAGGCAGAAGCAGACAGCAGCATGGCAATACCCACTAAGGGACAAAACACAAACCTCTTTCTGTCTCATGTCTTATCCAGGCTAACACTCATACCCTTACTCTTAGCATTGCATCCTTTATCACAGCATCACACATGCTACCTCTGAAAAGCCCTATCTATGACTGCATGAGACTTCGGGGGACATCTAGATATAAGCTATAATCACTTTACCCCATTAACAGAAGCGGTAGGATCTTGGGAGAGAGGCAAAACTTGACAGCAAAGTAGACAATACCCAAAGACATCTCTATACTAGCAACAAGGACTTTCTACTATAAACATTTGCACCCTCAACAATGTACACACACACACACATACCCCCACCACCACCACCACAATAGAAACATAAGAAAAGACAGCAAAATGCCTCCGAAAACTCCCAACTCCTCCAAAGCTCATCCATGGGAACCTCAAGGGAAGGAATCAAGAGTCACACGGCTGCCAGGCCCCAAGTGCCTGCCCGGCAAGCGCAAGGTTGTGAGTTCGATCCTCTGTACCAAAAAAACAAAGAACAACAACGAAAGTCACACAGCTGAATCATTTGAAAGATAAAAAGAGATTTTTTTTTTTTTTTTGGTACTAGGGATCTAACTCATGACCTCATGCTTGTAGGCAGATGCTTGAACCACTAAGCTAAATCCACAGCCTGAGATTTTTTTAAAAGATCAATTAACATGCTCAGTGAGCTCAAAGAAGTAATAAACTCAATAAAATGATCAGCAAGTTTATAGAAGACACCAATAAAAAAAACTAGATGAGCTACACAAATAATACAAAACATAAATGACCAGGTAAGCAAAAAATTTGTTTTCATGAAAGTTACCCCAAAAATCCAAGAAATTAAAAACTCTATTGAAAGTATGGGGAGCAGGGATATAGCTCAGTGGCACAGCGCTTGCCTGGCAAGCGTAAGGTCTTGAGTTTGATTCTTGGTACCCAAAAAAATGACCACAAAAGATGAGCAGCAGAAGTGATCAACGTAAGAATTAAGTGTCAAAACTAGCAGACAGGCTGATATCACTAACCAGTTACTCAGAGATGCCTTGAAAATAAGAGAATACATGAAAAATGGACCCAACAGCTGCTAGATGATGCAAAAAAGAGTAAGATTAATTGAAATTAGTGAAAAATCAGAAAACAACACAAATGGCATTAAAAAAAAAAAAACCTGTTCACAGAAATAATACAGGATAACTTTCAAAATATGTAGAAAATGGGCTGGGGATTTAGCTTAGTGGCACGAGCGCATCCCTGAAGGTCATGAATTTGATCTCTGGTACAAAAAAAAAAAAAAATCAAAATATGGAGAAAGAATTAAATATATAGGTAAGTTAGGTATATAAAATTTCAAATAGCTGTGACCAAAAAATAACTTCTCCATGACACATCATAGTCAATATCCTAGAAATTGAACATAAGGACAGAATCTTAAAGATTTTTTAAAATATCTCAGGCCATGGATTTAGCTCAGTAACACAAGCACCTACCTGTCTGTTAGAGAAAAGCAATGGATTGCTTATACAGGTAAACTCATCAAAACTACAGCTTATTTCTTGACACAAACACTTAAGGCCAGGAAATTTTAGAGTGAGGTTCTTGTTTTGTTTTGTTGGTACCAGCAATCAAACTCATGATCTCGCACTTGCCAGGCAGGCACTGTGCCTCTGAGTTACATTCCCAGTCTGGAATGAAGTGTTTTTAAGTTCTAGAAGAAAAAAAACTTCCAACCCAGACTTATTCAGCCTACAAAATTAGCTTTAAAAAAGAAATAAGGTATTTCCTATGACAAAGAGCACCTTAAAATTTTTATGACCATCAAACCAGCACAGATCTCAAGGATATGCTAGAAAGAGACAATATAGTCAACAATGCCAAAATGTCTAATTGAATCAATATACCCCAGGCAGGATGAGCAGTTAAGCAGAAAGGGAAAAAAGTAAACCAGCAACAGAAAAATAATGCAGTATCAGGTACAAGTCAATACCTATCAGTAATAACTCTCCAATGTGAATGGTTTCAAGTACCCTGTCAAAAGATTGGCAGATTAGAACAAGGAACAAAACCTAATGATATGCTGCATACAAAAAACACATTGAATCCAAAAAGAAATT